AACAGCTTCTTACCTTATTTTCTGCATGTCTGCATGGACATCATTAAGAGCTTTCTGTTCTGGCCAAGTTTGTGGTTACACCAAGGAAACAAAAACGGCTCAGCAGCATTGGCTTTCTTCTTAACTTGCTCAAGTCACTTAACCTCAGTTTGCTCCATTATCTTCCTTAATAAAAGAAATTACCACGGCCTCAGTCATAGTGAGGACTGATAGTGCCTGCCAGGTTACAGTGTTGACTTAGTTCCCCCCAAAGTGCCCGTAAGGAGGGCACTGGTATTGCAGATGGGAAAATGAGACGGAAAATCCCAAGTGCAGTTTGACCCATGTTCCCCGGACCATGCTGCCATGCTAACCGCAAAACAGCTTCTCACATAAAGCAAATATACTAACGCAGGATGCCCTTCAGAAGTTTGTTGTTTCTTCAGAAACTTCATCATGCAGTTGGAATTGCTACGTGAAAAAGCCCCCTATAAAAGCAGAGAGGTGATAGAAAAGTTTGAAAGGAGAAACAACAGTGTGTTACAGTCCAGAACTTTTCTTTCTGGTGTCAGTGAGACTTTTCAGTGTGATGGGAGAGGTTTAGCATGTAGAGATTCAACAGTGTTTGAGTGCCCAAACCTCTATTAAAGTCAGTGTTCAAACTGAGTAAAAGAATGTCCCTAATACAGAAAGCGTGAATTAAATATAGAGAAAAGGATTGCAGGGAAATAATGTAGATGATAAATTTTGTAGATTTTTGTAGAAATCTGTAGAAGTGAAGGCTTTTCATTTAATTTAGGTCAAAACCAGGTATTAAAGGAGAAGAATAAAAAAGCCTGGGGCAGGTGAGGTGTAAAATGAATGAACTTCTCATATATGCTGCTAGACCAGTCTCAGAATAAGACTCACATAGACAAATATATAACAAAAACTAGGCTAAAGCTTAGCTCAAAGCTTCCTAAAAATAGGTGGTAAACTAAATTCACCTACAGCCTGTATAAAAAAATTTCACAGCCAGTGCTCTGGAACAGCTTTTTCCCAGGTGACCCCCAAACACTAATTCCCAGCTCATGACTGAGGATTAGCATTGGTTGAATGAAACAGCAAAAGCATTCCCAACGTATTTAGAAGTTTAATGGCTTTTAGAAGTCATAGTTGCTTTTAGAGCTTTTAGAGCATCAAAAGAAATCTTTCCTCAACATACTAAGCTCTTCTGCAAAGCGTAAAGAGGGCAACTGCTGTCAAGAGCACATCTGCACTAAGCAGTATGGATCAACTACCATTGGGAAGAAGCTCAAAGTAAACATGGTTTGCACTATGGTACAACTATCAAATTACTAATAAACTACTCTTTGTGATGTTTACCACTATAAAGCAAATTTTGAAATTGGATTGTTTATTCAATGTTACATGAAAAATTCCTCCATAAAAACGCTATCCTATTAGCTGATTACTAACATCCATATGGCTGCTGCACCTAGGGAGAAGCATTTAGATTACACAAATGATGTTGGCACGAAAAATACCAAAGGGAGTTCTTAAGAAGAAGAAACACACGTTGTCTTCATGTCTGTCACAACCAGGGAAGTATAAGCCATGTGTAAGCCAGACTTACATAACTGGGGACATCTGGGGATGTTTGGTCAAACAAGAGTGCACATCACAATATTTTTCTTGGTGTCTTCAAAACACAATCTATGCCTAAGTAGTAACAAACGAGGATTCAAGCCAGGGCATTGATGAAAGCTTTTCTCACCTTTTTTACTGAGAAAAGACTCTTTTTTTCCATCACAGTTGAGATATTGTGAAGAATGACCTCAGTGCCCAGTTGTCAAGTAGTACTTGAAAATTTCATTTGCTTTTTAGTCTCAGGCACGTGTCTATTCAAAGTCCTTTCTAATGCCAGTTCCTAGGTTAAGGGTAGACTGTGTGAACTGATGGCAATGAGGTATAAAGGTCATTTATTGTACAGGTTTTGCAGTGCAACCTAAATGCCTGAGTTATTTGCCATTACAGGATTTTACAATATTCATGGCAAAGAAATGGTGACTTATACAGAAGCCCATTTTCAGACACTTTTTTGTTGATTTTCAGAAATTCTGCCTGCATAAAGACTGTTGAATCAAGCCTAAGCTTGGTATCACACTTGCAATTCCAGTTGCATGCAGCTTTTGCATTGGGCTGAAATACCTCTCTTGTTTGGCCAGGATGGATGGAGCTTTGAGCAACCCGGTCTAGCGGAAAGTGTCCCTGCCTGTGGCAGGGGGATTGGACTGGATGATCTTTAAGCTCCCTTCCAACCCAGACCAGTCTGTGTTTATATGATGTATCCTATGGCTATTTCACTCCACCAGCAGAACAAAATCTGGAATTAACAGTGTGCCCAATAAAAACGTGGGTTTGTTCTGTATGAGTCTCCCTCTCCTCTCTTTGCCAACCCTCTTATCTCAAAGCATTACAGACATATATTGTGGTATCTGTAAGAATCATTTTGCTGGGTGTCTCTGCAGGATTTTATATCCTTAAGGTGGAGACCATCAGCCTGAGTTTAATCACATTTATGTTGGATACAAAGCCAAAATCAAGGCTGCTGTCTTTGGTTTCTTGTGATGCAACATGCACTTAATGTACAAGCAAATAAATACTTGGTAAGCCCATTTAGTGGATACCAAGGAGTAACTATTTCTAGAAGTTTTCAGGATCAGACCTATTTCAGTGTTTTATAATATTTTAGAATTTCTTTATTGTTTTAAATATAAACCCTCTGACTACACAATGATAGTACATATGGTCATTAACATGAATATACACATTGATTAATTTATAGAAATATTAACACATGCATAAACATTTGCTTATGTCTATTGATAAACTAAGAGTCCACTTTACTTTAGGAACAAGGCTTTTTTACTAGTGTAAATGCAGTGACACAGTTGGACGTAATAGTACCCTGCTAGGAACTGCCAGGTTTTGATTGTCTAAATGAAGTGGAATGGTATCTTATTAAAAAGTCAATCCAGTACTAGAAATTGCAAAAGGAGGAATGGTTTTTATCATGCTGCAATATATCAGTCTAATTTGGTATATACTGTTCAATCATGCATAAGATTATGCTTTTCTGGTGAAAATGCACTTTCTGAAGTTTTTGCTCTAGACTGTTGCGGGGGGGAAATGAAAAAGAATACTTACAAATATCATTTATTGTATAATCTCTGTGAAGCACAGAATATTTATTTATCAATTTGATAACAGTCTCTTTAATACCAAAGTGAAATGGCATGTGGTAATGAAGTTGTTATCATTTTAAAATCCCTTTGTTTTTTGAGGTGCTACTGTGTATACATATTTTTTTCCTTTTAAACTGTATGGACTATAGTATTAGAATGTCAAATTCAGCTGAATCATGATAAACATTTTCACAATGGGAAATGTTGACATGCTACATTCCTTTCTTTGGAAAACTAAAAGAAATGGTCACAGAAAACACATTTTAATTTAATTATATCCTTTAGGTCATTAAAGTGATGTAATGTGCATGTCAGTCCTCTTTTCATCCACAGATTACTTTAATCCTCCATGTGCATTTTTCTTCTTTCCTCTGGCTTTCTTTCACATTTGCTTTGTTTTGAAATCGCATGCTGTCTGGATTATTTGTGCATGACCTCCACATGAATTTCACTTTCAATGTTTACATGCTCTAAGAGATTTTCATGGATCATTTATTCAACATGTGCAATTTTTTGTTCCTTTTTTTTTTCAGTTACTGAACTTTTTAAATGCTTGAAGTGTAAAAGTGGCATGAAACTTTCGTGACACAAGTAGACAACTGTTTTAACAGAGACTTTCTGTACCTAACTTCACATCTTTCAGAAAAACATATTCTAAACCACATTTCATGCTGTGCTTCCAAAATGTAAGAAAAGAAATGATGTTTTGAATTTGCTGTTGAAAATTGGAGCCAAATACTGATTCTATTTCATTTGAACAATGACAAACACATGAGACTGGTCCTTTAAATGAATTAAGAAGGTCTCTGCTCTCTTGGAGGTGATCACTTGCAAAGTCATGTCTGGGCATTACATATGTTCAGTGTAGGAAACAGTGTAGGACATTGAGGAGCAAACCAGATTACTTCAAATAAGCATCATCTCTCAACTGACTGTAGTAGAAACCCTAACTCCTCATTTAGTATCTGAAATAAATGACCGAAGTAGGCATATCCTGCTTTTACATAGTACTGTGAGCCCTAGTGACTATAAAGCAAAGGTTTTATCATTTAAACCCCTGCAATTTCTTCCGTATTAATTCCCCATTTGAAGAATTGAAGCAATATATATTGCTCAGCATGCAATGAAATACTGTTTATCAATCAGCAGAATTCCATCTCTAAATCACATAAAACTAAAAGCATATCCAGAGGAACCTAGCAAATAAATATACATGTGTGAAATAAAACAATGTTGTTTTTAAAAGTTATGCAAGAAAAAAAGCATTAAAAGACAACTTAGGAAGTTGTCGATTAAGAGGCCAAAATAAACACAATGAAATCAGAAGCAGTTACCAGGAACAAAATATTTTGGTTTAATTGGCAGAGGGCTGAGTTCACGTACCTACTACAAGCGAATTAAAAGCATCCACTTTCCTCTTTACAGCCTATTCTTTTTCAGCCAGTTAATTAATCCTGTGCACAGTCTGCAATGATTAAAGATGAGTGGCTTGATCTCAAAGCATGCCGAGCCATTTGTAGTCCTTCATCTGAACAAGCCATACACAATAGTTTCCAAATGAGCTGAAGGTCGTGCTTTGAGACCTCTATAATCAAATCAATCCAGTCTCCAGGGGCTTTGCCTTCAACCTGCAGACCTCACCACAAGCACCTCTGATTCTTTGCAGCCACTTGGTTTGGACTGATTTGAGTCACTATAGTTCTCTCCACTTTTACAAACTAGTTGTTTTGTCAGCATGAGTGTGACAACAATTAGACGTCCCTGTTTTTGCCCCATGCCTTTTCTCCTTCACAGTCATTCAATGACAAGCGTAAAAAGAACTTCATCTTTTCACGAAAATTCCCATTCTACAAGAGCAAGGAGCAGAGTGAGCAGGAAACAAGTGATCCAGAACGTAAGTAACCTCTTGGAGACGATGTCACATGCAGCAGCACAAAAAATGGGTGACACGCATGATACCAGTATCCCACACATCTAGGCATATATGTGTAGTAGGCAGGCAGGAGAGGTATTACTACTGTGACCAATGTGTGACTGCAGTTTGGATCCAGCTGGTCCATCCATCCCTGGAAACATCATTTTCAGAGGAATAAACAGTGACCTTAACTTTTAGAAGATCAAATGTGGCATCTGTCATAAATCCAGATTTGTCTCTGATTAAATATTCCCAGATAAGAACTGTCTCAAAATAATGCTTTCTTTCACAATACTAAATTATTACCTTTTTAAAGGTCTTCTCTAATCTCTTTTTTGCCTTTGACATTCACCAAGTTGAAACTTTCGCTGAAAGTTTAACAATTAAATGAAGCAACTGTGCTAACAGCTTAAAGTAAATCAGATCTTGGAATGTCTACCTCCCCAGGCATTTACTGCTTGCTTAAACTGTAGAGAGAACCAGCATTATTAAAAACATATGCTAGTTCCAAGCCCAAATATTAACTTTTTTCCTTAATAATTCGCTCTGAAATTTATCCTGTGACGATCATTTCTGGAACTTTATTTATCTGGTTGTTCCTTCAGAGCTCCAAAAACCATGTATTATGGTCACTGCCTCTTTCATTGGCTGCATTCCCATAGAATATGCGTCTAAAGTTGTTTCAGAAAGAAAAAGCAGGGATCCAGATTGCTCAATCAACATGGTCAGTCATGGTAGTATCCATTTCAACTCCACTGACTTCTTCCTTCCTCTTCTGCGGCTGTTCTTCCTTTCTCATTGCTCTCTCTGGGGACTTCCGTGCAGGACATCCCCGGATTAGGTGACGACGGTTATGGAACAAAGACTCTGAGTAAGTTCCCAGGAATGGTCACTGTAAATCTCTTTTTGTTTTGTTTTGTTTTGGCTTCTGTTCCTTCTCTGAGGACCCTCCACTCCTAGCATGCACAAGATAAAGAGTTTTATTTGTTACCCAGCTGTGAATGCATTGAAAATGTTTCAATCATTTTGTTCTGCATGACGATATTAAATAACATACAGTGTATCGAGCAGACACTTCCACTTCTTTTGTAATAACACCTTTTGTTTCTGACAGTATGTTATTGTTCCCATCATGGCAGTTCTGTAGAGTAGCATACCTAGAACTCGTTTTGCTGCCTAGACTGTTCTTTCCAGCAACAACCCCTCCCTCTCCATCTAAAGAGAAAGCTAAAGATTTTACCTTGGTCACATCCTGAGGAGATCAATAGAAAATCAGTCTCTGCTCTTGCTTCTGCATTTTCAGCTCTTTGCATGGGAGTGTTTGTTACTTTGCTGGATTTTAGATTAGTGTTTGTCGTTAATGGAAGAAGTCATTTGCAGGCTAGAGAAGACCATGCTTTCACCAAAGCTAATTTTGGACTCATTTCACCATTACCAGCCTATTCTCTGTCATACAACCTTAATCCATTTCTTTTTCTGATGCAGCAATCCTGTCTCAAGACTTGGCATTGCAGAATGTGTAACGTGTCAGATAATTGCCCAGAAACAATTTTGCTTCCTTGAAAGTTAGACCAGAAAACTTGTGTAGAGTGGAATATTTGCAGCTGATTTCTGTATAACTAACTACATTTATTCTGTATCCAGAGCTAAATAATTTAAACAAAATGCCACTTGCATGTGTTTGGCTGCTTCTTCCTCTGTTCTTATTCTTTTTCTTGAGCACCAAGTAATTGGAGCAAGATGTGTGTGAATGCTAACATTGCATCGCCTACTGTTTTATGTGTGCTTTTTTCAGGAATGCACATCCATGCACAGAGTTTTAAAGATTATTCTGTTTCTTGATTTGTTGAAGGGACATTTTAATGGTTTATCTTTAAGCCATCCAGTAGCTGACAATTTAAAGATGAAAGCTTCATCTCTTGTATGGAGAATAGTTCTGCAAGACAAGTTTTGTCAGTGATAGACAGCAAATGTCGCTGCCACCTGAATTTTAAACATTCTGTTACTCGAAGTGTCATGGCAGCTCATTAGCAACAAATGCAGATCATTCCCTGTAAAGAGAAGTAAAATACTTCTGATCTGATAACCCTTCTGAATATCTGTGTCCTTACAAAGACAAATCTCTGCAACATCCAGTCATTTGAAAGGAGACGACTGAAATCTGCAAACTGCTAAGGGAAAAGTAGCACAGAGGTATTATACAGGCTGTAGTTTCTCTGTTAATATTGCCCCTATCTTTTAATTACTGACACATCTCTAAACATTCCTGCCCATCCAAATTTCACTAATATTTAACTCAGGTACGCTTTTTAATGACAGGTCTTACGATGAAGGATATTTGTTCTTGTTTAATAAGGTTCTTCAAGATCTATATAGCATATTAGTTTGACACGACCCTTGTTAACTTGATGTGAAATGTCCAAAAGTCAGTATACTGTTTTCTTCAAAATGTAAGTTTATTTTTTTAAAGCTTCTTACTAAGCCTAAGATCAAAGTTTTCCATTACTATTTTTATCAGATAGCATTACCTTCCATTTCTGCTGCTCCAGTAACCCCATCAATCCCACTCTATGAACCTAAGCCATCACATTGGTGTGGCAAACACAGCACCTTGCAGAGAAGAGCTGGTCTTGGCACTGTTCACATAGTCATCCTCCGTGGCATTCATGCAGGGTCTACTCTGGGTTCAGCCCAGGGGATTCTCAGCTTTTATGAGTTCCTTCTTCCATTGTGAATGTTTAGAAGCAGTTGTGGGTTACTGTTGTGGGTCATCCACAGCCTAATCTGCCCACTGGTTTAATGACAAATATTGGACCAATTTTGGGTCCTGGTCTTTGTCAGGAGGTGGTTTACTTGTACCCATTCTCCATTTGACCACTGTGCCTTTCTCATTAACCCAGGGTGGCTCCCTACTGTATAGCCATTATACCATTGACTTCTAAGTGTCCTAGACCCACCGACGAGTTTCAGCTGTCAAATGATCTTCCAGGTGCAAAGTAATCAGCATTTCTACTAGTAATACTGTTAAAACCACTGTTTAATGTGGTCCTGCAGACCTCCTGGAGACCATACAGCGTGGTCTGACTGACCATAAACAGTCTGCTGACAGTTTCAGAACAGCAGCTCCACATGATATAGATTGCATCTTCCCTTAAATAATATGATAATAGAAACAGGACACCAGACTTGCCAAACCACAACTCTGACCCACCATCATAGTTCTTATATCCCTATTCAACCATCCATACTCAACTCACAAAGGTTTTCATGCTCCAGCTCAACTCCTGAGGCTAGACAATGTCTGAAGAAAGATTCTTTTTCCATTTATTTTCTTAGTTTTGTCATTGGCTTTGTCCTTTTCATTTTGGACAGGGTAGAACAGATAGATACAGTTACGATGTTTGATATCAAAACCATTTTCACGTTAATTTGTTAACCCTCTGGGATAGTGATTAAAGATGGACACAGGTTAGAAGTTGAACAGGAATAGCTTCAATGCATTAATGGTGTATGTTACAGATACTGCAGAATAATATGAGCAGACACTCAGGTTTCATAAAATTACTCAAAACATCCAGTGAGGTTCAAGTGGACCATAATATACTTTGAAATTAAGTTATCCAAGATGTCATTAACTGTCTCATCAAGAAAAGACATGGCTTTGCCATGACACAAGAGAGAAAGCTTTCATTTTACCTGTGTAAATTCTCTGAGAGTTTTCAGGGGATGTCGCTGCACAGTTTTGATTTCCTTTCTGCACAACTACCTTTGCATGACCGTGGCAGTTCTTTTAAGTTTCTGCAGCTCTGTGGTGCTTGGTTATGTTCTTTAATTTGCTGTACTGTTCTTGCAGAACATGTTTCTTCTAATGCCAGCGATAGTGAAAGTAGCTACAGTAAGTTACTGCTTTCATTAGAGTCCTTTTACTTTGCATTGCTTGTTCTGTTTGTTTCTTTTATTTTGTTTCTCTCCTTGCTGCTGTTCTATTAATGCTAAAAAGATGGTTGGAGCAAATGGCTTGGAATTCAAATTTACGACCGCATCTTGAATACAAAGCTATAAAAGAAAACTGGCAACCTTTATAAGAGGAGGAAGGTTGTTATTTGGAATGTATTCTGGGACATAAAACCAAACCTGGCTTTGGGTACCCTGTGAAAGTCAGGATTATGTAGTTTAGTGACAAGAAGTTTATTTCAGGAAGGAGGGGGTAGTTTCTTGATGATCTTTTAAGAGTAAATGCTACATAATTGTAGGCAAATCTGCTAAAAGCATCCTCTTTACAAGCTCACAATGTTTACTTGCGATTCTGCATACCTGTATGAAGGGCTAGGAAATAGTCCCTAAAATTTTGTTGAGCCCTTAATTTTGGCAGTACAGATTTCCTAATGCATATTGAAGTCTTCAAAAAAAGGTAAGATAGACTTTCACCCCTTAGGCACTGCCCCTGAATGTCAGTGATATCCTGTAAGTGGAGGTCACAACCCTGCACCTGATGTGGTTTGAATTACAGGCTCTATCTGATCATATATCCAAGAGGAAGATTGTATGTTCTGGGTAACAATTAGTAGTACCCCAAAATTTAACCAATATAACTATCTTTTCTTGTTGAAAAGCAGAAAAAGAAGGCCTTAAATAAATGACTAGAAATGTAATTAAAGGTAATTGAAATCATAGATTGCTTACTAAATCACCCAGTTGTTTATTTCTTTCAAGCCATTTGCTTAGCAAATCAAGTTTTCCACCAGTCACTCAGCACTTGTGCTAAGCACCCACATACATTCAGGTAATCACTGGTATCATACCTTATACTTACTAGTCTTGATATAGCGCATAGCAGTTGAGCTCTGTCAGTAAACACTGGTTTGTTTCAGTAAAACAGCTAATCTTATGCAACTCAGAAATGGTAAATTAGTATGTATTCTCTTGTATTGCAAAGGTTTCCTTGGAAAGCAATTGCCAGAGTCACAAGGAAACAGTAG